TTTCAAACAGCCCATCTTCAAGTTCAGAGGTTCTCTCTTCAACTTCCGCAAGTCTGCTGGTTAAACTCTCCATCGTGATTTTTATTTCGCTGAATAACTTCTTCAGTTTGCCAAGTTCTGCTACATTTTTTTTCAGGGCATTGATTTCCTTGTACATTTCCTCTTTCAGGTCCTGTATACTTTTCCTCATTTCATAATGATGTCTAGCTGAGTTTTCTTGTATCTCATTCAGTTTCCTTAGAATTATCATTCGAAATTCCTTGTCAGTCATTTCAAGGGCTTCTTGTTCTGTAGGATCTAGAGTTTGAGATTTATTAACTTTTGGTGGTGTACTTTCTTGATTTTTTGTATTCCTGGTATCTTTTTTTTTTATGTTTATTCATTGTGGCAGGGGGTTTCACAGCCCACAGGTTTGACCCTATTGACTGACTAAGGTGTTGCTGTTTGCCAATTGGTATGGCTACCTCCGTGACTGCTCAGTTGGCCTCTAGTGTCTTGTGTGTGTGGTTGCCTTGGGTCTTGGGCCTCTCCAGGGAGCCACCTCTCTAGTCAGCTTGGACTCTGCTGGGCTGCTGGATCACGGGGCGGTACCACAGGGTGTGTGGTCTCTGCTGAGCTTCCATTTCCCGTGCAGGACTTCTCCCTGTTCCGTGCGCTCTGGCCTGGTCTGCAGGATCACGCAGTGGCGGCCCCACAGGTTTCTGCCGAGTCTCCGCCTCGCTAGCCAGACGACTCCCCACTCTGTGTGCACTAGGCTGGGCTGCTGAATCTCACCGTGGCGGTCCCTCAGGGTGTGTGTTTTCTGCCGAGTCTCCGCCTCCCTAGCCGGACCTCTCCCCGTTCTGTGCGCACTGTGCTGGGTTGGGACGTGTCTTCTGCAACCCTCGTATATCAGCCAGGCCTTCAAGATCCTGCTCGGCACCACCTCACCCAGGAGGTCTTCCAGGTTTCTGCTATGTGCAGACAACCGGTTGCTCCAGGTGCCTTTGTAGCACTGTGTAGATCTTTCTCGGGACTTATCACCTTCCTCCTGGTATCACGGTTATTTGTGTACTTGTCTTATCTCCCACACCAGAGCGTAAGCTCCTTGGGGGAGGAGTCCACAGCACACAATTCACCTTTGAATCCCCCCGGCGTGGACCGATTCCGGCGCCCACCCACAGTCAGCTCTCCGGGAGGTTCAAGCAAATGCAGGAATGCTCCGGCCACACTATTCCTAACCAGAAATCGGTTAGGCGTTTTTCTGAACTGGTGGCGCAGAGATGGTATCTGCCTCCCGGTAACAGGAAGTTTACCAGGGGCTGGAGCCCAGGGTGCGGTGGAGTGACATTCGGCCTGGCCTGCAATTCCCTGCCCTCCCAACACTGGCCGGGGATGCCCCATGCCACCAGCCCCGCCAGAGAACTGCGGAGGGAATGGGAGGGGAGTCCGGTCCACAGGCCCTGGGAAGCCCCGCACTGGGGCAAGCAAGTGGGATGGCTCAGTGAGGAGCCGAGCCGGGCGAGGAGGACAGGCCTGGTCGAGCCGGGCCAGAGCTGCTTGCACCTGAGAAAATGGAGGCAGCCCCGGGGCCGGTGACTGGCCCCGTGTGGCAGGCAGAAGCTGGGCGGGCATCCACCCTGCGAGCAGGGCCGGGCTGGGGGTCACTCATGGGGCTGGGCCCGGCCGAGCAGCTCCCTCTCTGCCTTGTCGCCATCCCCATCCTCGGATGCCACCGCCTCGGGCTGCTCACTCGGTCCTGCGGCACAGCTTGTGCGCTTCCAGGAATCTTCTTTAATGCCGGCCCAAAGCCTCCGGAATTATTTTCTAGTTCATTGTTAGGTTATAGGAATACAACTAATTTTGTTATGTTAATTTTGTACCCTACAACTTTGCTAAATTCATCCACTAGTTCTAACACTATTTTTTAAATGTGGAATCTTTAGAGTTTTCTACATGTAGATCATGTTATCTATGAAAAGAGACAATTTTACTTCTTCTTTTCTGATTTGGAAGCTTCTTATTTCTTTTTCTTGCCTAACTGCTGTAGCTAGGACTTCCAGGGCTATTTTGAATAGAAGTGGTAAGTGTGTGCATCCTTGCCTTGTTCCTGATCTTAGAGGAAAAGCTTTCAGTTTTTCCCCATTAAGTATGATGTTAGCTATGGGTTTTTCAGATATGGTCTTTATTTTGTTGAGGCAATTTTCTTTTACTCCTAATTTGTTGAGTAAATTTGATACATTTTTGTTGTTTCTATTTTGCTTATGGAGCTAATATAAATTCATTTTATAAATTATTTTTAAATTTTTTATAATTTTTAATTGACTATTACAATTTATAATTTACATAATTGAAGTTTCAAAATTTAAAATTTTCAAATTTTTTAATTTTGTTTTGTTTTGGTGGCTGGTGGGTACAGGAATCCAAACCCTTGACCTTGGTGTTATGAGGCTGTGCTCTAACAAACTGAGCTAACGAGCCAGCCCTCAAATTTTTCAAATTCAGGACAGATCATTTGAAAAATTCAGAAAAATACACAAAGGGAAAATTGCTCATTATTCCATTCTCTAAATTTTTCTTCAATGTAAGTTCTTTGTCTTTTTTTCTCAGGTAATTTGGCCCAGACAAGAGCCAGAATAACAGTGGCCTCAAGATCCTTGCCTCCACATTTTAGCTCTGGGAGAGCCAAGGTAAGTAATAGATTTGCACCAAAAATTATATGAACCAGGGGGTATTCTTGCCCCAGGGATAATCCTAGAGTGGGCAGCATTAGTTCCCTTCATCTCGCCCACTGCTTGGGCAGTCTGGTAAAGAGATTGAAGTCATTCAGGATTTTGTGAGGAGGAGGTTAAAGTATAATGCTATCCAAATTGAGAAGGTATTTTGAGACTGAAGAAGGAATGGGCAGATCCATTTAGTGATCAGAGATATTAACAGGGGTGACTTACATACAGGAAAGCTGCACACACAGTAAAGAATTAGACCTCTACAGCAGATCAGAGTTCTGACTCTCTGCATTTTATTTATTTATTTATTTATTGCAGCAAAAGCTTTGTTACTAAAAATAACTTTAAGGAAACAGGTTAAGAAGCATAGATTGATAATATCTTTTACCAGGTGTTTTGTGATCCATGGGACAGGTGTCTTGTGATGTTAGTGCTCAGCAAATACTGAACCATTACTCCTAGGGGAAATACAGGGTAGGTTCCTGCAAGACTGTTCACAATGTTTTTTGTCAACTGATCAATACATAACCTTATTTATTTATTTCTGTTTAAAGTCACCTTATTTAACATACATTTTTTACAAACAATGGATTATATTCAATATTCTTTATATAAAATAATATTTCAATTGCAACATTTGGGTCATTGAACTCATAGCCAACAGCATTATAATTCATACCTGAACAAAGTTTATACAACTAATATGTTTTCTCCATGAGGAAAATCACAACCTTCTTGTCCTTAGGAACACTAGATAGCACTTTGGCATTACCCTTGGGGAGCCATTTTAAATAGCAAAATTACCAACAAAAACCACAAAAATGAAAAAAAGAATGTGGCACTTAAATAGACCTCAAAAAGGACACTTGTTTATTGTGTGAGAGCAGAAACAAAAAGGCAGAACACCCAGTTGGGCCTCAGCTGGAAACATGTGCATTAGGGAACTCAAGTTTTTCATGCTCTGTGTATGTCTGTGGATGACAATGAAAGCATTTGAGTATTGGCTTTGGGATTACAAATAAAATTTAGCAAGTAGGTGAATTCATAAATATGGAATCTACAAATGACGAAGATGGACTACATATTTGTTTTTTGGAGTCACTGGCTTCTACCAGATTCTAAGAGGGATCATAACACAAAAAGATTGAGGACCCCTGTGTAGTATTCTCTGTCAAACATATTTCCCTCCTTTCCTTGATTTGATTTTTGACTACTGGACCTTGCCAGGACCTGTTCCATTGACTTCCACACCCAGAATACCAGCACAGTGTTACCTGCCTCCCTGCACTGTCTATTATTGTTCTAACTGTTGGGGTCAAGGGAAAACTTACTTTTCACCCCTGAAGCTTCATTAATAAAAATCACAAACAATTTAGGTCAATATTAAGAAAAGACATAACAAATCTTATTATTTAACATGCTGGGAGGAGGCAAAGCACAGGGGAATCACAAGAGAGTAATTTCCTAATTTTCAACAGGGGTACAAAGCTTATATACCAGTGTTCATGAGAGAGAGGTGCGGGAAGTACAAATCCTGGAACAATGACCTGAGACCAGGTTTCTCGGAAGCTCTGGGGAGAGGTGTCCTCATAGGTAAAAGAAGGAAGGCAGAAGTTAAAAGTTAAGTAGAGACATTTTGCATGCAGATGAAAATAGTTCAAGTAATCTCATAGCTGCCCTCAGAAAGAATAGATAGTAGCCAAAGGAGGGGTGCCTCGGGGAAGCATGGCTGTTTGCATATACAGATGTAAATTTTTTTCCACAAAAAAACCCAGCCTTCTAGCTAATCTTGTTTTCTGGTCTCCCTGAATTAGCCATCTTCAAATATGTTGTTGGCATAAAAAGAAACAGAGACCAAATACATATACCAAGGATGTATTGAGCCAATATGACAGTTGCAACCAGGGAAACACATAAAATCTAGAAAACAAAACATAAAAAAAACCAACAGTGTTTTAATCAAACAAACAAACAAAAATCATTTCAATTCTTTTTCAGTTCAGTCCCATGTAATTAATTCTTGTTTTGTTGTTGTTGTTTGATGTTAGGTTAGCAATTTTATGAGTTCAGTTTTTTCATTAGAGTTAGAATTTTTACCTACTCCAAAAATTCCTTAGCAGAGGTCTGTATTCTGGAGTACTTGTTAGAGTCTTTTTATCCTTTTCATAAACATTCTTGAAGATGCAACAATTTAGAATTTGCAAAGAGCTTTCGAAAGGAAAAGAATCAAAATTAAGCAATTTATTGTGGATAATCAAAACACAATTGACAAAGAAATTTAGTTATTTCTATGGCCTACAACACTGCATAATAGCCATAATTATGACTGATGGCATATACTAAGACATATCAGAATTTTAGAAATTTTATATACAATTTTAGAACATATATTACTTATATATCTAAACATAAAGTTACATACTTTTGAAAGAAACCTTAAAGTTTAACTCAGTTTTTTTAAGTAATCAAAAAGACCTAATAAAGACACAGAATCTATTTCTTATTTTCTCCCCCCTTTTTTCCTGCAGTTTACTCAAAAGGTAAACACAAACTTTTTACCATTTTTTATTGATACTACATAAAAAATTTTGTTTGAAAGAGAAACTCAAATTTTATTTTTACACCAATGTATTATTAATACTAAACCTTATTTTAATAAATCCTTAAAAATATATTTATCCAATTTTACATACATTATCCAGATCAGGTCACCCTGAAAATGTGTTCCAAAGAGGGCCAGCAGACTTTAACATTTTATAATCACAAGAAGGGGTAAGAGTCAAAGGAGAGAGAAAGAAAAAGCCCCACCTAACTTCTCTGGCCTCTACGTCTAGGTCCAAATTTTAAGCAACATGGGAGTTGGGATGAGACAGTAGTCAGACCCTTTTATTCTTGGCAACAGCAACAGCAATGGGCAGGGCTAGAATCTAAAGACAGATGTACTACAGTTTTTGTTTGGGTTTTTTTTAACATAATTTTTCTGTCCTTGGTCCCATCTTTTTACCAAAGATATTTATGACAAGACTAATTTATTTGTAAAATAAATTTAGTCCCTGGCCTGATTATTTGCATAAAGTGAAGTAAGAATGGCTTGTCATTTAGCTCCTTTAAAACTGGCTTTTCTGGGACCTTTAAAAAGAATCTCAGACTAGACTCTTAAAAGCCCCTCAGGGACTAGGAAGCCAAGCCAAGGATTTGATCTATTTTTAAATTGTACCTGTACAAATTGGGTTAATCCCTCTCTTCTGGAAGTTCCTGTCAGAAAATGGCATTCTTTACTTCCCGCAATGCCGGGAATCTTGTAAAGAAACCTGTCGACAAGATACCAGGCCAGTCTTTCTCCAAGTCTGTTGGCTTTATAAAGTCAATCTTAATCCTTAAAAGCAATCTGATCATATCTGAGTTAGGAAATTACTCTCTTATGATTCCCCTGTGCTTTGCCCCCTCCCACCATGTTAATAATGACGATTCTTGGGGCTCCCAGAGGAAGGCAGCAGGTCTAAAAGGAGGTCATTAGAAGGGAAAAGAGAGGGTGGGGGCGGAGAAAGGTTGATAGATACTGTGATCTCAACCAAAAAGAGGGAGATCCAGGATCCAGAAGAAACTCACTTCTGCACCAACGAAGCCCTTGGAGTTGGAGGGCACGATGGGCCCCACTGAGTGGTTGGGAGAGTTGTTCTGGAGTCCCTTTGTTGTTGCTAAAATGTCTACCTAAAAAGAAACTGAGACCAAACACATACACCAAGAACTTATTGAGCCAATTTGATGATTGCAACCAGGGAGACACATAGATCAGGTCATCTTGAAAATGTGTTCAAGAGGGCCAGCAGAGCTTAACATTTTATAATTACAAGAAGGGGGAAGATCAAAGGAGAGAGAAAGATAGTCCCACCTAATTACTTTACCAGGTTTTAATTGGTTGTACATGACATATAGACTTGGGATTGTTACTAGGTTACATCCTACATGCAGGGATCAAGGGTAAGGGTAATAAGAAGTATTCTAGCTTATTTATGGCTCTTTGATGCCATCATGGCTGCTTCTAAGTAAAATAGTCTTATGATAACATTTTCCAAGACAGGTGGACATGATTACTGACTTATCCCAGACTTCCCAAGGTACTATAATTTAGCTGACCTGGTCAGAGCAGATTCTTTTGGTTATCAATGTCAACGAAACACATTTTGGAGTTTGTTGGTTAGCTCAGTTGTTGAGTGCAGCCTTGTAACAACAAGGTCATGGGTTCGGATACCCATATCAGCCAGGCACCAAAAAAAGAAATATATTTTGGGGTTTTTTGAGCTGAAGTATTTTGCTTTCCTATAAGAACTTGTCCATGTGAAAAGTGTGGCTTCTAGTATACGACATATATTTACATTATTGAAATAATAATAATGTATATGGGTAAGTTGGAAATGACTAGAGAGTTGCATTCACTTGGAATGGAGATGAGTTGAAAGTTCTAATAAAGGCATCTGAAAATATGAGGGGCAACAACAGCAATAAAACACACACACACAAAAAACAAACAAAAAACTTCATCAGTTGCTCTCTGACTTATCCAAGGTAAAATAACAGAAGTGGCCCTGGATGAAGCTGGACTCTGTAGGGGAGAAAAAGTAATACCTTTTCCTCACACATCATAAGGTTCATGGTGAGACACTTATAACAAAAGACAGATTAGCAAGAGAAAAGTGTACAAATTTATTTAATATAAGTTTTACATGCGGGAGCCTTCAGAAATGACCTAAATAAACATGGAAATCTGTGTATTTTTATGAATGGTTGAGCAGAAATGTGATTGGAGAACCAAAAGGTATGATCTGGTGGTAGTAAACTGGTGGGAACATAGCAAGGCGTGCTTGTTCAGATTCTTTTGGTGTCCTTGTGTGACATTCTTTACCTCTAGGTAGAGGGCAAGCCATCTGTCACATGAGGGTCTTCAGGGGAGAAGGGAGGGAGAAGGTCAGAGAGTGACCTCCCTAGGTCTTATGACCTGCTTCAGGGGAGAAGGGCAAGGGGAAGGTGGGAGTGATCTTCCTTCTTCCGCTGTTTTCTCAAAAGCCAGGGTGCCATATTTTGGGGTAGCATGTCCTGAACCTTATGAGCTCCAACACATTGAGCATCACTGCCCAGAGTTGGTTTTCAAAGCCAGTCTTGCTTTTCCATTCTGTGCTGTAGAGGCTTTTGAGAACAGTGATGCTGTGGGGTTTTTTTTTCTCCTTAAGGAATGATGTATCATATAACAGCAGTAAAAATTCTTGACAAAAGGCCTTGTCAAGGAGACAATAAGTACAAGCACTTCTGAGTTTTCAGGACGCAAATAGTGAGCATGTACAGAGACCAGGAGAAAATTCTTCTATTTTTCATTTATTACTGAAATCTAGATGTTTTATGGGACTTTTTGGAGTCTATGTCTTTATCCTAGATTAAATTTAGTTGATGGATGAGGCAAATCTTTTTAATAATGCCATGCTTTTAGACTTTGATTTTATAAGTTGTATCAAATCACGTAGGGTGGCAGTATATAATGTTTAAGAAGCAAGGTTTAGGAATCAGACAGAACTGGTTTCAGATCTAGACATGGCCATATACTGGCTGCAAGATTCCAGAATATTTATCTAAAACCTCTGAGCCTCCACTTTCTAAAATGTAGATAGGAATAATAATAGTACTTACCTCATGGGATCATTTTAAAAATTCAGTGACATAATATAGGCAAATAGTATGGTGATTTCACTTAGGAAATATTCAATAAATACTTTATTACTTAAGTTTTTATAACCCTCTAAGATTGCATGTGTGGAGACCATATGTATATGGAAGCTTGCTCAACGGCTGTGGGCTTGCAGTCTGTAACACAATGTGTAAAGCTTACTTGTGCTACTTTGATCGCTAACCAGCACCACTTAACAAGGAACCAGGCAGGACATTTGTCATGTGGGCAGAAAGCAAGCTTGCTCAGCTCCAATTGATTTACATTGTAAGTAGGTTTTGTAGGAGGAGAGTATACTGGGTTAGACAGACAATGGTTTTATCCAGAATATCATGTCTGCTGATCATTTTGAAATTGGTTTCATTGGAAGTATTTTTTCTGCCAATAAATAAAATATTTCCTTGCTGTGCTGCATGGGTGCTAGAACTCTCCTGCCATTGAACACAGTCTTGTATTCTTCATATTCATGATTACACTAAAACTAATCAAGCACGGTAATGATGGAAGGAGAATGAATGTTACTTGTTGCGTGTGTGCAAGGTGGTTGTGTTTACTAACAATTTTACTAATGAGGAAAAGAGAGGCTTTGAGAAGTTAAATAACAAGTCCAAGGCCACACAGCTAATAGGTGGAGGAGCCAGAATTTGAACCAGGTGCATCTGATTCAAAATCTGTGCTCTATATAGCATGTCACTCCTTGAGCCTCGGAAAGCTTTTCTAGTCTTTTTTTTTTTTTTTTTTTTTTTTCCCTGACTGAGGTAAAAACTTATGAGATACTTTGGAGAGGAGTTTTTTTTTTTTTTCTCCTTGTGAAATCCCCACCTTTGGGAAGAAGTATCTACTGGAGGATACCCCTAATAGAATCCACTTTCTGGATGGTTTCTAAGAGACTTTTTAAAAAAAATTAATTGGCTCAGGAAGACAAGCTCTTAGATTAGACAACAGCCTTCTCAGCCCTTTTGGTTTTGAATTTTTGTAGCTGGCTTTGGAGTTCCATGATAGGCCTGGTGCAGACAGTGGTCTGCTAGATTGAAGGGCTGAAAGAGGCAGCTTCTAGTTTGTCCTGTCTGAAATTCCCTCTTTTAGGTCAACTCCATGTTCGGGAGAACCTTGTGACTATGCAAATAACTAGAGATCCTTGACCAAACTGAGACCTTTCTAAATTCTTAAATTAGAAAATACTTGGATAGCATATCATTTATTCTGTAAAATACAGTCCTAAATATGAAGAAGATGAACTGAAACAAGCATTAGCATTTCCAGGTTGTATATAACGAAGAACAGGTTTTTACTTACATCCCGAGAGTTACTCTGTACGTGAGTGCAACGACAGGACTTAAAGTCATGCTGAGACACAGATGCTGGGTGCTTAGACAGGGGCTCCCACTAGCTGGGGCTCCCTCCTGCCTACCCCAGCCTTACAGCTTCTGGAGTGCAAACTGGTGCTTCATTCCGTACTTCTCCAATTTGCTGAAGTGGACCAGTACTGATCTTGAAAACGATACATATTATTCCTTTAAAATTGCGTCTCATCTGAATTAATGCACATCAAGGATTTTATGGTTATTAAATTCTCAAATGCCAAGGGTCTGCTGTATTTTCTAAGGGAGGGTAACAGATAAATCCATCAATACCTACTAATAGAGAAGTATGGATGAGCTTTTCAGCTATCTCATGTCTGGAGGGGCTGGTGCTCATTGGCTAATTTGAATAAAAAAGGAGGGAAATGACAAGGACAAGCAAAGTTCAAAGCAAGAGGTGCTCCTTCCGGGAGGATCTCTGAATAAAAGGAAGAGGTGGAGAAATTCCCAAAAGGGAGGTGTGTGTGTGTATAGGTCAGGTGGGGTGGAGCAAGAAAATAAGGAGAAAAAAGTTGAAGAAAACTCTCAGAATTTACAATTTAGCCAAAGGCCAACCTTAGTCAAGATCTTTCCTTCAGCCCTGATTAGCTTGCCCCAAACTTCACTAGCTCTGAGCTCTGTTTTCAAATGGGGGTGAGGAGGGGAAAGAAACCTCCAGTGTGGACCACTGCAATGACCATGGAAAGAGTGCAGTACCTCTCTGCAGCTTGGGGCAGGTGTGCAGTGTTTGTTTTCCCTTTTCTACTTAGTGCAGCCTTCCTTCTATACACAGAAGTTTTGGTCTCTCATCCAAAAAATTAAAAAGTCAGACCTACATGTGTTTCAGCTGCATATGAATGGACTGACGGCATCCAGTGTTCGGCCCGTAAAAAGATAACTGCACTGCCCCTGGTGTGTCTTCACTCAGGCCATACTCCTGCTCACGGTTTAGGTTGATTTTCTAGTTCTTGGTAACTTAGCTCCATGTTTTTTCCCTTTCTTAAATAAACTTTTTTCCTTTATCCAACCAAATTGAAGTGTTTCCTTCCATTTTTGCACACAGTCTCCTAAATATGCCTCCAGGTAACCCACATTATTCCCTCCTCCTAGCCCCTGCCCTTTAGTACCCATTATTCATTTCATTGAAGAAGGCTGCAGACATCCTTACCCCATGGGGAAGTGGCTGCCTGCACAACCAGTCCACCAAATGGAACCCATGTGCTGACAGCAGCATCTTCCAGATCAAACGTTTCTGCTTCTTACCCTTGTCACCTGTTCAGAGCAGATGGGAAGCCACCATGTTGATGCCGGTGCTGAAATGCCACTCATGCACTCTGCAAACCAAAACAGGAGTTTTGTTGTTGAGTTACAATAACGAAACGCAGCCTGCCTGCAATCGATCTCTACAATTGTTTTCATTCATAAATTTCTTCCAGTCAGCTCAGGTAGTTGGGATAGATGATTGGGAACAGGTGTATCCTACTGGGTTCCTGAGTGACTTGGTGCCTGAGCTCCTGTCTGCAGTGAGCACGTGGGAACTGTGGGAGGCAGGAGGGGCTCTTCAGCATCAGGGTCTGATGGTGTGGTTTGGCACTGGCCTAATTTCCTGTGGTACAACCTGGGCTTTGGGTCCATCATGTCTTTATAAAGGCCCTCATGGGACTTTGCCCAGTTTTCTTTTAAGAAATAGTTTGATTTCATTTGACATTACTGGAGAATTTAACAAGGGCCCATTAGAAGATGGAGAAGTATAGAAATAACACTGATAGGGATTTATGCTGAGACCATATGGTACTTCACAGATGTGGTCATGTTGCACATTCTTTTTTTCTTTTACATGTCTTTTAAAATTCTCCCCACAGTGTACGCTATTGTGTCCTAAACACCATGGCCCCTCAGATATTTGACCAAACAGCCTTTCGGATTTTGGAAAACCTGGAGAATGAGTTAAGTGTCTATATCCTCAAACCACTCTCTCCAACTTGTGCCTCCAGGTAGACACTCTGGAGGTCATACGGCATCCGGAAGAAACCACCAACATGAAGAGGCAAACCATGGCTTCTTACTTCCGGGTATGGACTCTTCTTGATCTCTATTATGCTTCTTTCCAGAAAAGACTTGCCAAGCCTTCCCATGAGAGTCCTGGATAGATAAAGCTGTTGAAACAAAGGCAAAGCACAAGAGCCAGTTAAGAAAGGTGGGGTATGGGGAAGGATGGAGCAGGTCAGGGAGACACTGGGCACACAGCCCTGCCCATCAAGTGTCCTGATTCTGTTAGCATTTGGGCTCCTTCTTGTCCTTAAAGCTACTGGAGTCAGCCAATTTTATAACATACTGAATAGTAAAGTAGTTAATAAAATTCCGGAAGGTAGCTTATCAAGTTCAGATACTGAGAAAATCTGTCTTAGCATTGATCTTATTTTCCTAGATTGAATTGACCCATTGCAAAACCAATTTGCCTGGGCCCTATTATTTCCCACTTCTTCCACCCCAATTTCTGATATTTCATCTAGTAAAATGCCTCCTTTGGGTAAAAACTTGTCTCTAGAAGGGTTCTGTTAAATGCACATTATATAGCAAAGATAAGACACATATACTCACACCATGCAATACTACTCTGCCATAAAAAAGAATGAAATTCTCCCATTTGCAACAACATGGATAAGCCTGGAGAAACTTATGTTGAGTGAAATAAGCAAAGCACAGAGGGATAACTACCACATGTACTCACTCATATGTGGGAGCTAAAAGAGAAAGAAGGAAGGAAAGAAAGACCACAGTGGTGTGTTGGACTTTCAGAGGGAGAGAACATACCTTGGGCTACAAAGTGGAGTTGGGGGGTTGGGGGAAGGGGAGGGAGGATGGGGATAATTAGGTGGGGGACACGGGGTACAAATGCAATTTGTAGTAGTGGGTATGCTGCCAGTATGAATCTGACATTCACATCTTGGGCACGAGGGGTGATAATCAACTTTGTATCTCATGAATATTCATAAACAAACAAACAGAAAGACACATACACTCTTGTACCAATTTTCACAGATTTGTCTATCTTCAAATTATAAAGCTTTAGGATTAGAAGCCCCTTAGAGATCATGTACCACTGGGAGCTAAGGTCCAGGTAACTTCATGGTATAGTTGCTACCATGAAGATGGTAGGCCAAAGTTCAAACTGATCTCAGGGACAGCAGAATAAAGTGGTGGATGGGGCTTGCATAGGAAGAGGCAGGGATGGGAGGTCAGTGGGTGGGAAGCTGGGTCATGAGCTGGAGGAGCCAGGCAGGCTGAAGGGCAGGATCTGGGAGCCAGCCCTTGGATACATAGGCTACACCATGGATAGAAGGCTGCACAGAAAGCTCGCAGGTGCAAGAAGGATCTAAAGCCAAGAAGTTCAACCTAGCCAATTGTGCTTCAGAGGCAACCAGAAATGGACTCAGGGTATGAATTGCAGGGGCCCCAGACCTCTGAGTCCAGCAGTCTATCCATGCAGTGATTCCTGCTACAGCATCTCTGGCAGGTGGGCATTCAGCTCCTGCTTCATCACTTTGATGTTGGGACATTTCTAGTTGCTACTTATTTCTTATCTTGAGACCCACTGTGGTTCTATCCCCGTTAGTGGCTGTATCCTCATCCTGCTAGCAACACTTAGGGTGTATGTGTGTGTGTGTGTGTGTGTGTTGTGTGTCTGTGTTTTCCAACAAGATTTGGGGGCTCTATTGACTCTGGGAAGTCATCCTCAGGATCCTAAAACCCCCACCCCCACCAGCAGAGAAGCCTCTGACTTAACAGTGTTTCAGAAATGTACCAATGACAACAGTTTGGTGTCCTCAAAATACTGGTTCCCAAATGCTAAACCTGAAAAATAGTGTACCTTGCTTGGTAAGCTAGATAACACCAATTTTGATCAATGGGAGGAGTGATTGTGAAATCACGAAACTGATTTCCTGCATGGTTTGTAATTGCCCCTGAAGGCATGCCCGGAAGAGGAGCTCCAACAAGTGGACGCCCATGAGGGACAACTGAGGCCTCCCTGCACAAGTACCCCTCTGGTTTTCCATTCTTAAAAGAAAAACTTTAGACAAATTAAATTTAACAGCATTTAATTGAGCAAAGAACGATTTGTGAATCAGGCAGCCCCTAAAATGAGAACAGATTCGGAGGGACTCCACCGCTGCCACGGAGCGGACTAACATTTATAGACAGGAAAAGGAAAGTGATGCTCGGAAAAAGGAAGTGAGGTATAGAAGAGTCAGCTGCATGTAACTGGCTGAGACTCGGCTACTTGTACCAGGAGTAGGTTACAGTCTGTTTGCACATCAAATTAGGTTACAATTCACTAGTCTGAAGACACCTTTAGGCCAAACTTAATTTAACAGCGTGTTCTTTCCTCATCTTCCTCTATGAGAGCCCCAAACAAGCTGCTCGTATCTGTTAGTTGATGTTCATAATAATCTTTTTCTCCAATTTTCTTTGCCCTCTTTCTTTATTTTTCTTTTTTGTTCCACTACCTTATTAACAATAGTATCAGTAGGATTTGCTTTGACTTGCTGGTCGTTTTTAGGCCAAAGGAGCAACCAACCCTTCTCCAAAACCTGAACATTTTAAATTATAGGCACAGTTTGTGAAATACATTTTTTTTTTTTTTGCCTTGGAATACCAGAGATGAGCATTCTAGTTCTGATGATGGAGTTATGAGGTAACCTAGAGCATGTTCTTAGCTAAGTTTCTGCCACATGGGGATATTGCTTGGCACAAGGTCATGTTAAAGAATGCTTTGAATCTGCAGGCAGCTGTAAGTAGAACTTAACAGTATCATTTCCTATTGCCGATTTCATGTTTTGCCTCAAAGAAGTCCATGAGTCATTCACAAGCCCCAACTGCTCAGGCTTGTGTTGTAATTATCCATTGCATTAGTGGTAACCTCATTTCATCTGTGTTTTTCTCCTTGGTAGTATTCTCTGATGGATCTGCTTTCCAAAATGGTGGTTGGACAACCTCACTTCGTGCGCTGCATTAAACCCAATGATGACCGAGAGGCCCTGCAGTTCTCCCGAGAGAGAGTGCTGGCCCAGCTCCGCTCCACAGGGATTCTGGAAACAGTCAGCATCCGCAGGCAGGGCTATTCCCACCGCATCCTCTTTGAAGAGTTTGTGAAAAGGTCAGGCCAGTATCTTTAGAAATACGTTATCGTAAATAAAGCTCTACCCTTTTGTCCCCTGGGTTGCTCCTCCTGCCTGCTTCACTGCACTCGTGGAATTGGCGAGTTACCAGCTACCATTTACTTGCTTAAATGTTGCATTCGTATTATTCGTCAACTAAAGTGCAGCAATCTGGAGGATAGGTTGAGCTTCCTTCTGATCACATTTTTAAAAATGCCCATATGCGTTTATATGTTATAAACCCTTAGGTCTCAAATTCTCCAGATGTTTAGTTGTTATGAAGAAAGTATCCCTCCATAAGCGGGGCAAGATTCTGGTGGATTTGAATGTATCCAAGCACTCACTCCTCTCCCGGGGTCTGGCATGATGTAACATGATAATTACACTTACATAGCATCTAAAATGTCCTATGAGTATAGGATATTTTAGGACACTATCTTAAAATGTATAATCTCATTTAATCCGTAGAACAGCCCTATAAACTAGGCTTTATTATTATCCCCATTTTATAGGTGAGGAAATTGGGGCACACAAAGAAATTAACTGACTTTCCCAAGGTCCCACACTGGTAAATGGTAGAGGCAGGATTTGAACCCAGGCAGTTTTAGCATCCATGCTTTTAATCTCCTTGACCCACTGCATTCAATCAATATTTATTGAAATAAATTGCATGGAGCTTTCTAATCCCAGAAACTGCCCTTGCCTAAGAATGAAATGCTCTTTTCTGCACAACTGCCAAAGGAATGCCCTCTGTATGCATGTGATTACAGGGGAACTTTCACAGAATATTCTGTGAAGAAATGAGGAACAACATTAACAAAAAAAACCACCTCTGAGAAGCACTGCTGTCTGAGGATGCCCAGAGAGGAATATTAAAATCCATTATAAAATCTGCCTCACCCCATCAGCCATATTGGTGTCTTTTTACCTCCATTCTGACATTTACCCAGGGTCACTTTTCCAACTTTTTCTCAGGAGAGAATGGATCCTAAATATGGAAGCTTGCTTCATCAAGTTTTCCAAGTTCTGCTAAATTCCATGGGGAAAAAAAGGCAAAAGAATTTTCTAGAAATGAGTGCTTTTAAATTAAAAATAAGAATGAATGGCTTTTTTAAAGACTGTATCTTTGAGCTTCTTTTTTTCCTCTTAAATTTGGAGGTGGAACAAGGGGAAAGAAAAGATTATAGCTCATGAATGTGACTAGTCAAGTATTTTTAGCAACAAAGTGCTGAATACATAAAAATATTTAAGAAAACGGGTCAAATGCTAAACAGATTGGCATTTCTTTGTTCAAAATCAGAAAGCCATTAGGCAAGTATGAACAAGAATTTCAAAATGTCAGTAAATCTGAGGATATCAAAGATTTCTGAGTCAACAAGTTAATTGGTATTTTGATCCTTCTGAGAAACTTAACAAAATGAACGAGGTAGCAGTTTTCCCCCTTGATGTTATTCAACAAATAAGTATACTTCTTATGTTCCTGTTCAAGAGTTCTGTTTTGTAAACTCTTAGCAGGAAATATACAGACAAAACAAAGGCAGGGAACAGAACCATTCAAGGTTTATCAAGTGGAGGTGAATAAAAGACTTGTTTAATGTCACTCTTTACATTTTTTCTTTTCTTTTTTGTATTCTCTGGAGTTCAGGACTGAAACCCTGACATGCATACTTGAAAGGTAGTGTTCTTGGGACTATGTTGTTGGGTTCCAGAACGGGGAAGAACTCCCCTAATCCCCGAGTCATCCAATTCTGCAGACTTGGTCAAACCTAAAATGCTTCCTTGCCTCTGTCATCCCTGAATTTTCTGGCAAAATGACTTGGTAGTACCCTTTCCTTATCCTCCAATCATGCCTTTGAGGAAGGGGATGTCTCCAGCACCTTTCATCAGTGAGGCCAGATGAGTTGGAAGTCTTTATCTGCTCTCAGCTAGGCATAAAAGGGGCCACCTGGAAAATGCTGGGCAGGTGGTTGAAACCTGCTGTAATACATACCGTTGAGGGATATCACAGAAAATCACTGTGAACATTTATTGTCTTCGTGGCCAGTGAACTCTGACGCATAGTCTCTCAGAAAGTGTATACCAGGGCAAACATATATGAACACTGGAGCAAGCATATATGTGTTGGGATGTGTTCTGGAAAATATGTAAAGGATAGGGCCAAGTCTAATAGTTTGTTTATTAAACTACTGTACTAAATAGTGCGAGTTGGTGAGGAGACCTGAGTTCCAGTCTCCTTTTTGGACATAATATATGGCAAATAACTCAACTTTTCTACAAAAGAGGCTTCTTCACCTGCATGGCAAGAAGGCAGGAAAACACAGAGCCCACATCCTGAAGATTTTCAAGGATTGCATGTATGCTGTGCCTTACTTAGCCTCCAAGTCTTCTAGAGGCTCTTGTCTTCCTCCAGTTGGGCTCTCAGGATAGAAGACCTGCATCTACCAGGACCTGATTCATAACAGTTGTTAAATTGGCATCTGTTGAACAAAATGAAACTCTTCCCTCTTCTCTTTCATTGGCATTTTCCATTTCTTTTCATGAAGACATGGAAAGCCATGGTGCCCTGATGTCTCCTTTGTCTTACTCTCCCTTCTAATACTCCACTTCTTCTCCAGAAACGAGGAACCACCTTTGATTTCTCTCCTCCTCACTTCCTTTAAACAACCTATCACTGGGTCCTGCTGACTTTACCTGCTGGAGTTTCTCAGCAAAGTTCCCTTGGGAATCTTCCATGCCTTCTCCCAGGTCTTTAGTCCAGGCTTTTTATTATTATTATTACTATTATAATTAACAGCTTAATTGAGATCTAATTCACATATGATAAAAGTCACCCTCTGAAAGTGTACAATTCGGTGAATTTTAGTATATTGACAGAGTTGTGCAGGCATCACTACCATCTATCTCACAACATTTCATTTCCTAAAAAGAAACCCCATACCCATTAGCCCTCTTCCCCTTTGCCCCCAACCCCATCAGCCCTAGGCAACCAAATAGTCTAAATTCTGTCTCTATGGATTTGTCTGTTCTGGATATTTCATATAAGTGGAATCATACAACCTGTGGCCTTTTGTGTCTGGCTTATCCCACTTAGCATAATCTTTTCAACATTCATCTACATTGTACTATGTATTGGTATTTTATTCATTTTTATGAATGAATAATATTCCATTGTATGGTTATATCACATTTTGTTCACTCACTCATCAGCTGATGGACTTTTGCATTGTTTCTACTATTTGGCTGTTATGAATAATGTTGCTATGAATATTTATGTACAACTTTTTATGTAGACATACACTTTAACTTCTTTTGGGTATACGTGTCTGAGTAGAATTGCTGGGTTATATGGTAACCTTATGTTCAAATTGGCTGCATTGGGCCGGCCCGGTGGCGCACTGCTACAGTGCGCCACTTGGGAGCGCGGCGGCACTCCCGCCGAGGGTTCAGATCCCACATACAGACCGGTTCCCGCTCACTGGCTGAGCGAGGTGTGGGCGCAACACCAAGGGTTGCGATCCCATTGCTGGTCCGGTCCGGTACGGGCGCGACACTGAGGGTTGCGATCTGTTGCCGGACACGAAAAAAGACAAAAAGGAAAAAAAAAAAAATTGGCTGCATCAGTTTATATTCCCACCAGCAAAGTTATGAGAGTTCCAATTTTTCCACATCCTCAGCAACACTTGTTCATCTTTTTTTATAATTTTAGCCATTGCAGTGAGTGTGAAGAGGTTATCTCATTGTGGTTTTGATTTGCTTTTCTCTAATGATTAATGATGTCGAGCATCTTTTCGTGCACTTATTTGTCATTTGTATGTCTTCTTTGGATAAATGTTTATTCAGATCCTTTGCCTATTTTTTATTGTTGATGTTTATATATTCTGGATACTAGTCCTTTATCAGAGCTCTGTGTACATGATTTACAGATATTTTTTTCTCATTCCATGGACTGCCTTTTCCATTTCTTGGTGATGTCCTTTGAAGCATAATAGTTTTTAATTTTGATGAAGCTCAATTTATTTATGTTTACTTTTGTTGCATGTGATTTTGGTGCCTTATCTAAGAAACCATCAACTGAATACAAGGTCACAAAGATTTACTCCTATGTTTTTGCTAAGAATTTTATAGTTTTAGCACTGATATTTTAGATCTGTGATCCATTTTGAGTTAATTTTTCTGTATGGTGTGAGGAAGAGGTCTAACTTTATTCTTTTGTATGTGGATTTACAGCTGTGCCAACACCATTTGTTGAAAATATTATTCTTTCACCCATTGAATTGTTGTGGCATCCTTGTTGAAAATCACTCGACCATAAAGATAAGTGTTGATTTCTGGACTTTCAATCCTATTCCATTGATCCATGTCTTTTCTTGGCCTTTTAAAGCTATTTTTTCATCATCTTACCATGGTTTCCTAAATGAACTTCCTGCCTATTTCATTCTCCAAAGAGCCACCAGACTAGAATTTATCTAAAATTCCCATCTGAGCATGTTGCTTCCTTCTTGAAAAAGACCATTCAGACCCCAACTGAGTGAGCTTTAGTCTCTCTGCTTGATGTAAGGAAATTTATCAGATTTGGCTCCTGGTCACTTTTCCAGTCTCTTCTCTTTCTCCCACCCGTCAGATCACACTCTAACCCAAGCTGAACTACTTGGAGCTCCCTAAACACCCTAAAGCAGTTCCATTCTTTTGTGCCTTTGCTCATGCTATGTTGCCTTAATTTACCTTCTGCAATGCCTCAGTCTGCTGACTCAAGAAAGATAACACCTGCTCATTCCTTAGGACTTTGAATAGGTATTATCTTCATCTTCTCTGTGATACCCTCCTTGACATCCCCAGACTAGATCTGGCGTCCCTCTGATGAGCTTCATTCGTAACATTTACTACATTGTGGAGGAATTATCTGCCTTTCATCTCACCCTTAATTGCCTGGGAGGCGGGGATATTTTTCAGCCTACTTTATATCTGTACTGTCCAGTGGAGTGCCTGGTACAAATTAGGT